AACGCTCTGATTTATATACCCTATCCTAGAGTAAACTGCTTGAAAACCATACCCTTCACAGTGGCACATACCTATATAGCCCATATATGACAGTACCCCTCCCCCCCCCCCCCCNGAACTTTCTTTGTTGGAGTAGGCAGCTGATCTGATTTTGCAATCTGAGTAGGCAGCTTAGATCATAAAGTAGATTGATTTAGATCATTAAGTGATTTTTGTTGGCAGCAGCTACTATACTTTTGACAACCCTGAACACACAGTTGTCTGTGGCACCCTATAACCAATGTACAAAATAATTTCAAGTTGAACATGTACACTGCTGGTCAAAAGTTTAGAACCATTCAGCAAATTATAATGATAATCTTTGTCTTCACCTCCCCCTCCCTGTGGAGAGCTCTTTTTTGGGGGGTGGGTAGGGGATACCCTACTTATACTTATACTTCTACTCCCTGTAAATGTCTTTGTGGTGGTATGATTTGTGTTACGTATGCTGTGGAGTTTTGCACTAGTTTTGCCCCAGTGAGTGACTGGAGTAATATAGGAGATTCCAGATTGAAAAAGTACTCGAAATGAAAACTGCACTTGGGACTCACTTTTTTTTCACTGAAAAACAAAAGTGAGCCCCTTCCCTACAATTTAATTGTTACTGAAGTACTGTGTGCAGGGAAATTTAGTTACATTTGTCTATTTTTCACCTTTTCTAGATTGTTGTTGATAGCTCAGATGAAAAGGAGTGGCTGATATACGATGCTGGACCCCGTAATGTCCGCTGTCCTCTGGTGTGTTTGCCTCCAGCCAGCGGCACTGCTGATGTGTTTTTCAAACAAATTCTCACACTTTCAAGTCTTGGATACAGAGTAATGTCGGTGAGTTTAATTTCTTGATCAGTAAATAATGTAAAACAGGAAGTAGCTTTAGTAAGAGGACTTTTTATGAGGAGGGCTAGAGATACATATTGGAAGACTACATATAGTGGTTGGTATAGCATTTGGTTGCTTGACAATTAAAATTTCTCTGCTGCAACCTTGATTCTTGCAGCTCTTTATAGTTACCAAGAAAGGTACTACCATATTGCTTTCATGTAACATAACAAACATGAAAGACTGTTTGGTTTGAGCAAAGTTCTCTTAAATTGCAGCTTTTCAAAAGTGTATTACAGCTTTGTGTTTGAACCAAAAACACTGACATTTGGTAAACATACCAACTTTTAGATCCTCTTTTAATCAATTTTAAATATTCGTACCCAGTCTCTTGCTCATTTAGAACATGGCTAATTGGGTGTTTTAATGTTACAGTCAGAGGTTCATTACCTCAGAATATTCTGTTCCATTTTACTGGAACTTGGGCTGGACTGAAGTAAATTGTGCATTGTATACTGCACTGGGGACATTATAATTATTACCTGTCAAAAGGGTTTGCTCTAATTATCTTTAGGTTCTACAGTAGCATGTTGTTTCTCTTCACCCAACACAAAGCTTTTCAACCATGTGTTTATATATTTTCCGTTACATATCAATGGTTTTAGGTGGAATATCCTGTATACTGGACATATAATGAATGGACTGAGGGTTTCATACGACTGCTGGATTATCTGAAGCTTGATGAGGTTGGTGCAACTGTATATTTGACGTAAAACATTTGGTGGAAATCTTAACCAGTACCAAGGATACATGTAAAGAGGATACCTTAAGGAAACCGAGGAAGAAATTAATAAAACTAACAAAAACAAAATTTGCTTTGACTTGTAGCTTTCAAAAGGTGATTCACATGCTCGTGTTAGGAATAGCTCTTCCCCTAGACAGAAGTTGAACCCATGACTTTGTTCACATACTTATCAGAATGTGTTCAGAATTTTTTTTGTGACAAACTGAATATTCAGCCTAGTATTATATTATAACACTAAGCTTTAAATTTGTCATCTTTGTATTCATGACATGAAAATAGTGGCTAAGTGTTTGGTTCCTACTCTGTTTTTCTAGTTATCAGAGGCAGTTGTTGAAAACTCATTATTTGGAGAAATCAGTACAGTACAGTACTGTAGATGCACTTAAATTGTACATGTGCCCATCAACACTTCACTTCCAATTATATTTACAGTTGATTTCTTTTTCTTTTGCAGGTCCATCTTTTTGGTGCCTCTCTTGGTGGCTTCCTTGCACAGAAGTTTGCAGAAATGACCTACAAAAGTCCTAGAGTTCACTCTTTGATATTATGTAATGCTTTTGCTGATACATCAGTCTTTCAGCAAACAGCAACTGCAACCACGTAAGTTGATGGGCCATAAATACATGTACTTGTCCTGCACATCAAATACATTGTGTCCAACCAGTGAATTTATCTCTTATTTTATTTCATAAGTATAATTTGTGAGTATATCTGATCAGGGAATAGTGAGAAGTTAAATAATTTTGTGATTACAGTGCAGAGAGTACCAAGGATTTTGATCTGCATGCTACTAATCTAGAGACCTGTCTCATCCACGAAGTTTGTGTGTCAGTGTTATATGCGCAGCGACACAGTATTCAATTATTTGTAAATTAGAAATTAGATGGTACTGTACATAATAGACCATTTTACAGTTGTCTGCTCAGTGACCTGGCCTTTGAATGGCAGCAAGGCTGGAAGTGACCTTGCTTTGATACAGACTTCTCTGCTTTTGTCATGTAAATCAAGCTAGTTAGCATAAGAACAACTTGTTTTACACAACAAAAGCAGTGAGGTCTTTATCAAATCAAGGTCATCTCCAGCCTCGCTGCCGTTCAGAGGCCAGATCACGGAGTAGTCAACTGTAAAATGGTCTCTTACACTAGTGACTAAAACAGCTGCTTCAGTCAGGAAGAGAGTATTGTGGCACACTTTTTTGTTGAGAGCCATTCAGGAATTCGTTGATGCTCAATGTGCATCCATCAAGTCATATTTAATAATATATACATGTATGCACTGGAGTTTGGAGAGTACAAAAGAAGGATATGAGTTGTTCAAGACCTTCTTTGCTACAGCAACCCTAGTTTCTTTCGAATCAGTGCTCTTCAAGTTCCCTAGCGCATGCAAATTTTGATACATCTGTATACAGCTAAAAGCATGGACTAAATCAGTAAGGATAGCAAAAGAGTTCTGGAAATCACAACCTTCACGTTCCAGCAGTTCATCCCATTATCTTCTGTGGCTGTAAACCTCTTATTTGTGTTTTCTTTTTAAAACAGGTTCTGGGTGATGCCTGCCTTTGTTTTAAAGAAAATGATAATGAATAATTTCACTACTGAAGAGGTTGATGAAGACATTGCTGATTCAATTGATTTCATGGTGGAGAGAGTGAGTAAAATGCACATCACCTAATAAGCTTTCAAGTTACATTGAACTGTACAAGAGATTTGTCATGTTACTCATTTGGTGCTGGTAACACAAGCTTCTCTACTTACAATCTTACATTTAAAGTATTGCTTTAGATCACTTTGTATGGAACACTTTGCTGGTCCATGACAATAGATCAATAATTACAATAATTTGTGCATAATTTGTGCATTTCATTTCTGGTGTCATAAAAGATNCAGTATGTTTTGTTCTTGGGCCAGACACTCACAGTACCTCTCTCCACCCAAATATATACGTGGGTACTGGCAAATTTAATGCGATGGACTATATGTAGCATCTCATCCAAGGAGGAGTTGAAATACTCCGAGTCACGTCATGCTAAGACTGAAGATAAGTGCTGGGCTGATGGGCCACTTGGTTTGTATGCAGACTTTAGCTTTGCCAGTAACATTAATAGTTGGTGATTTGCAACAGAATGCCCACCAGGGCTCAGTAGCAGGTGCTGGCTCTCATAGAGAGCACTGCATGTTAGTGTCTGCATGTAGCCAGGGACACAACTTACTGTCAGCATACTGTCTGGAATGGTGTCCACCTTTAGGAAGTGTCTGGTAGTGAAGGTTTAACTGCAGCAATCTAATTTATCTTATAGGTCTTTGATGATTGTGCCCTCTCACAGCCTGTCAAGGATGAGCTTTACAAATGTTATCCAAATGCCAAGAGAGCTCATCTAAAGAAGGGAGGTAACTTCCCATATCTCTGTCGGAGTGCTGATGTCAATCTTTACCTGCAGGTGTGTGTTACAATGATACAGGTGTGTGTTACAATGATAGCAGTAAGCAGTCGAAACGTCGCGATCTACATCTCAGTGACTACATCGTGAGACAAACAATAATACACTTTATTATTGCATCTACCACGATGAATAACAGCAACCTTTTCCTCGACAATGATACAGTTGTATGTAGTGCATGTATTAATCCATCATTTGCATTCTTGTCAACACCTGTCAGAGAATGGTCCCCAGCTGAGTGAACTAAAATTTCTTAGATCCTTATTCAGCACAACATATACTAATAAAAATAATTTAAAGCACACAGAGGGCTTTTTCCATTTTTAATACCCCATATATACCACAGTGTGAGATAATTTACGAAAAGTTTGTGTGAAAAAATGCATGCCAAAGGACTAAAGCTATTTGGACAATAGTTAAGAGAATTCTCAAGAGAATTCTAGTGTCCTCATTGTTTGAAATTTATGGTCAATGATAGTACTGTAGAAATCACCAAAATTATTTAACTTGCTAGGCAAAGCAAGAAAACTTTCCGAGACCTTTAGTTAATATATTTTTGTGACTTTTTCAATAAACTCATCAGCTTTAAGCAGGTTTTAGCCATATGGGTGTCCAGGCGTCCTATGAACGGCCACTTTCTATAGAAAATTGTTTTATTTTTCGTATGCTGCCTTATAAATTGCTCATTTGAGCAGGCCCTATAACACATTTTGGACGGCTACTTTCAAATTCTGGCTAAAAACCTGGCTTTAAGCAGGAAAATGTCAACTTACTGCATGTGCACACACATCCAAAAGGATTCTTATACACAACCTTGTTTAAATTGAGATGCACTACTGACTGTGAGCTCATATTTATACTCCTGTAATAAGGGCCAGGAACAAATAACATTCTGTTTAGTCAGTTATGGCCTTGTAAGTCTTAAACTTTTGGGAAAAGACTGAGAAGATGGCATGAATAACATATCTGTAGGCTACCTGTCTTAGCATGAGTGGTCAAACAGGATAAGACATTGGTGGTCAGGACAAATGTAAAAGTGTAAGAAATAATCAAGAAAAAACAGCCAAGGGATGGCAGCCTGAACATTGATCAGCACTCCAACTAGGACATTAGATACCTTTCAGAGAAGCTACAGAAGGAAGGGAAACAAAAATGATACTGGGGAGGGTATGTGAAAAATGCACCAAAAATACCAACTAGAGTGCTGAAATTATAAGATCTTAGATGTGCACTTCAGACTGTTGCATTAAATTTTTAAACACCTCAAATTTTGTCAAAACTACAATGCTGTGCAGAATTATCAGTTGAAACAAATGTCAATTTATTATGATAGATACATCTTCGACAGTTCATGGGGAAGCGGTTCAGTGCAATGGATCCCAAGTTTATGACAGAAGAAGACATGTTATCATGTGGGTTGATGCCATCTGCTGAACCACCCTCTGTGGTGTCAACAGATGATGAAGCAGATGAATAGATATTATATGTTGTTAAAATGAATACAGTGGAGCCATGTTGTGCAACTATCAGCAGGACAAGAAAACTCTGAGTCCCCCTCTTGGTCTGGTGATTTTTGCCGATGTCATAGAATGTTCTTTGTACATCTCAGATTCACCTTTAGTTATAAAACCA